TTCCACCTACAACAGCATTGCAAAGGGGAAAAGAAATCCCCCAACTGACGCTGAAAAGCCAGAAACTGCGTGATCAGCGGGAACACCCTCCGGCCTGGGTGAGCACCCAAGGGTGCTGCGTCTGGAAAGACCCATGTTTCGGTGACTCCTTTTTTGGGCGCACACTGAGCAAGCCCACCCCAGAATTCACAGCCTGAGGAAAGGTTCGGAAATTTGGCATTGCTTCTGGGTTATTTTACCTTGTTGCTTTGCATTTGAAATAATCTAATAGAAAATATGTTTTAAAAGGGGGTTTTGAAAGAGAAAGACAGAAAGAAGGGGGGGAATCCACCTTGCAGCAAAAACTTTCTGCTGTGTTGGAGTCTGCAGAGACAAGCTTGAAAGAGGAGAATCATAGAATCATAGAATCATAGAGTTGGAAGAGACCACAAGGGCCATCGAGTCCAACCCCCTGCCAAGCAGGAAACTCCATCAGAGCACTCCTGACATATGGTTGTCAAGCCTCTGCTTAAAGACCTCCAAAGAAGGAGACTCCACCACACTCCTTGGCAGCAAATTCCACTGTCGAACAGCTCTTACTGTCAGGAAGTTCTTCCTAATGTTTAGGTGGAATCTTCTTTCTTGTAGTTTGGATCCTGCCTCTTGAGATGCTGCCAGGCCTCTCCTTCTTGAGGGCTAGTGGCTTGTGGAAAAGAGTTTACAAGGAAAACACCACCACTTGGTTAAATGTTTTGCTGCAACGGCAACAAGAGAGTCTTTGCAGCATCATAAAGCAATAAGGACTGTTCTCTGGCCGGCATGGATTTCACGGGTTACAAAATCAAGGAACTGTAGTGTGGGAAGGGACTCTGAGGGTCAACTTGCCAAAGCCCCTGCAAAGCAGGTTTCCTGCATCTTGTTGCAAACACAGCCTTCTGGTGGGGGTGGACTCTCCTTCGCTGGAGGTTTTTAAACAGAGGTGGAATGGGCATCCGGCAGGGATTCTGTGTCTGCCATTCCTGCCTTGCGGGGGTTGGACAAGATGACCTTTGGGGGTCCCTTTCAGCTCTACAAGTCTATGATTCTATTTTTCCAGGTCATCAGTATCTGTCTTTTTGCTGCAGTAAGGGCAAACGCGACTCCCTTTAACAACTGGAGTGGATATCTTCAGGGAAGTTTTTCATGGTTGATGTTTTATTGTGCTTTTAATATTTTGTTGGGAGCCTCCCAGAGTTGCCTGGGCAACCCAGTCAGATGGGCAGCATATAAATATTAAAATTAGTAGTAGTAGTAGTAGTAGTAGTACGAACTTGCTGCACATGAACAAGTTGCAGACACAAACATAGACTTGTCATGGACAAATTTGACAATCATTTTTATAAATACCATATTAGGTTAAGGTCTGGTTAATTACAATAAAAATGCTTTTTATTTTTGCAATGTACACAATATTGTTGTTCTGTTCTGTTTAGTTGTCTTCATGGGTACTATCTCTAGTTTCTTCATTTCTGTGTCTTATCTTGCTCTGTGCACTTGTACTTTTGTACTTTTTATTTTTCAATAAAGAATATCAAATACAATTCTAAGGTTCTGAGCTTGCAGTTCTTGTAATCCTGGCTGCTCACTTGCCTTTTTATAACTCCGGGGCTGGGAATATCCAGGGACTTCCAGAGCATCCTGAACTCAAATCTCCCAGCAGCCAGCATGGCTAGTGGTCAAGGCCAATGGAGAGTTCTCCTCCAGCCCCCATCTCTCTTGCCAAGGTCCTTTAAAAATATATATTTAAAAATTTCAATAGTTTACAAATTTAATACAAAAGAATACTTTCCAATTGATTTTCATTCACCATTTGACTCCCCCCCCCCCAGTGTATTTGGGCAATCTATCCGGACACGGGTGGCGCTGTGGGTAAAAGCCTCAGCGCCTAGGGCTTGCCGATCGAAAGGTCGGCGGTTCAAATCCCCGCGGCGGGGTGCGCTCCCGTTGTTTGGTCCCAGCGCCTGCCAACCTAGCAGTTCGAAAGCACCCCCAGGTGCAAGTAGATAAATAGGGACCGCTTACTAGCGGGAAGGTAAACGGTGTTTCCGTGTGCAGCTCTGGCTCGCCAGAGCAACGATGTCACGCTGGCCACGTGACCCGGAAGTGTCTCCGGACAGCGCTGGCTCCCGGCCTCTTGAGTGAGATGGGCGCACAACCCTAGAGTCTGTCAAGACTGGCCTGTATGGGCAGGGGTACCTTTACCTTTATCCGGAAGATAAATTGTATTTTGAGGAGTTAGTGATCTGACCTAGTTACTCTTCCTGCCTCTGTTCCTTAAGGACTTTGACAGAACACCTTTAATGCCCTAATCAGTTGGAAGGATGTGGTAGTGCTGGGTACCTTCTTCGATGTTGGACATTGTTTTGAGAAAGTGAGGCAAGCCACACAGGCTAGCTATCTATAAATCAGATGGTTGTGGGCAGAGTTTTAGAGAAGCTCGTGCGCAGGCTGATGGGCTATTTATATATTGCTTGCTGTTTAGAATAAACTCTTTAATCTTCTCACTCGTGTTTTGTACAGTGGTACCTCTGGATACAAATGGGATCCGTTCCGGAGTCCCGTTCGCATCCAGAAGTAAACGTAACCAGTGACGGCACGTCTGCACACGTGTGTGTCGCTTTTCGCCGTGTCTGCGCATGCGCAAGCAGCGAAACCCAGAAGTAACGCGCTCCGTTACTTCCGGGTTGCTGCAGAGCGCAACTCGAACACGCTCAACATGAAGCATATTCAACCCGAGGTATGACTGTATTATTTCTTAATCTCATTGCCATGCATTCGGCAAGACACCATGGTTTCCTCTTCTTTTCTAATATTGCTGCATATTATAATTATTCTATGTCCTATCCTTTCCAATTGTTCCCAAATACAGTAGTACCTCTGGTTAAGAACTTAATTCGTTCTGGAGGTCTGTTCTTAACCTGAAACTGTTGTTAACCTGAAGCACCACTTTAGCTAATGGGGCCTCCCACTGCTGCCACACAATTTCTGTTCTCATCCTGAAGCAAAGTTCTTAACCCGAGGTACTATTTCTGGGTTAGCGGAGCCTGTAACCTGAAGCGTATGTAACCTGAAGCGTATGTAACCTGAGGTACCACTGTACACATTTTACTGCTGTTCCTTCATTCAAATCCTACTTGGGTTTTTACATGTTTACAATGATTCTTTAGATATTCAGCAAAAGCTTTCCAATCCTCCCTAAAACCTGCCTCTTCTTGATCTCTAATTTTTATAGTTCGCCATATTCTGTCCATTTTATCTGCCCCTCTCCTTCGGAAGGTGTCGCCTCCTCTTGCCATTTTTGCATACATAATACCCTCACTGCCGTTGCTGCACATAGAAATAAGTTTGTCCGCCTTTTTGGAACATTCATCTCAGTTATCCGTAATGGACTGACTTCTGGGGTTTTGTTGAAGAGTTGCCTTAAATATTTTCTTTACCTCACTGTAAACCATCTCCCCCAAACCCTTAGCCACTCGAAATGTCCACCACGTATAGTAAAAAGTACCTTTGACTTCTTTCCATTTCCAGTGGATACCCGATTCAGATTTATGCATTTTTGCTCAGTTACTTGGTGTCAGAGACCACCTGCCACCAGCAAGTCACAGGGTTGGGAAACCCCCGTTGCTCTTCTGTGAAACAGGAATTATGGTCACAGGGCTCTTGTGAAGTCAGAGCAATTTTTATAAAGTCCAGCCACCCCCCTCCCAGGCCGGGTGACCAGCTCAGAATGCGGATTTTGCACACTTGTGACCGAGGAATGAGCCTGGACTTTGGCCATTGAGACACTGGCAGATTTTTCAGAAAGCACCAACTGTGGTGGAGTCAGTGAGGCAGTTTGAAAGGCAGCGCCGTGTAGTGGTTAGAGGGTCAGGCTAGGATTTGGGTTCAAATTCCTGTTTGGCTGTGAAGCTTGACCTTTGGGGCAGCTCACTGTCTCTTGCCTACCTCACAGGGTTGTGGGATTAAATGAGCTCTCCGGAATAAAGAGAAGCTGGGCTATAAATGCAATTATTAATAAGTTTGCTCTCCCGGCATCATGGGCTCCCCTTCTTGACTTCTGCTCCCCGCAAACCACAGCATTTGGGGGCAGGTTAAGGCAAGAAGCTGAAACATGTATTACCATCTTTTTAAGGAAGAGGCGATGCTGCGTTATTTGGCCATTTTTAACCGACTCCAAACACCTGACACAAGTGAGTTGCTTCAGCAGGTTACAACTCCCTCTCCCAGCAACCCTTAGAATTTTGTTTTGCAGAGATCACCCCCAGATTTTCTATTTTAAAAATAACATTCCTCCAAATGGTGTGAGATCAAGTATGATCCAAGAGTCAAAAGTTTTGATCTCAAGCAAAACCATTTTAGAGCTGCAAAGTATTTAACCCACCAGAAAGGGCTTTCTATAAACAGGAGGGGCTTGCAGGCCTTGCTGGAGAAATTGGACAGTTCCTACATAGTCTATTCCTCAATGCTAAATGAGTAATTATGATGCATAGCTTATTTTTCCATTGTTGCTTTGTTAACCATGTTTTATAGATTGGGATTGTTTCAGTGAAGATTTGTTAATTATTCTATATGATTCCATTTTATTTATGCTGTATTCCTATTATGTTCTATCATTGTTATTCATTGTTCGTAAGCCACTCTGCAACTCATTTGAATGAGAAGTGGCATTAAAAAAATATAATAAGTCAAACATCAATCAATCAATCAATTACCTTGAAGTCTTTTGTTCAACCACAAAGAATTCAGGTGACCAGCTGTTTGCAGGGCAATGACCTCACGTCCCTGTTGAGGACTGCATTGCCGGGGGTTGGGCAAGATGACCCTCAGGGGTCCCTCCCATCTCGATGGAAAAAAGTCTGCCTTTGCAAAGCTGGTGTGCTCCAAGGCTGCAAACACCCACCACCCCTGCAGCTCAAAGCCTCTGGGCACAGCACCAGGTTGGCAAACGAGATGGCAGATTCAAGAAACACAGGTCATGATTATTCGCTTTCAGAAAGTAACAAATCTTTTATTGCAGCTTTTAAAATCAGATATAAGAATATATAGATGTATTTGATTCTCTCTCAGTGCAAAAAAGTCATTTTGCGTGTTTTTTCTCTTAAATAGATAAATAAGAACTTCTCTGCATCCAGTTCATTTTTTAATTTTTTAAAAAAGGAGTTCATTTGCAAACTGTCTTTTTTTTTGTAAAGCTGTCCCGCAGACACTAAGGATTCTGCTTCCGTCTGCCTTTCTCTCGGCAAGAGGGCATCTGTGCAATCCTCCCCAAGGCAGCAGATCCCTTTCCCGGCAGCACAAAGGAAGGCGCGGCCCTCCTCTTCCTCTTCCTGCTGAGCAGTCAGCTGACGCAGGAGCTTGCAAGTCAGCAGGTCACCAGGCAGCCGCCTCCTCCTCCTCAGAGATCATCTCCATCGCCTCGTCTCTCTGACTCACCACCCACCACTCTGCTTCTGCTGGGGCGGCCAGTCTTGGTTTCGGTTAGTTTTTTTCTTAACAACAACAACAAAAGAGAACGCTTTCTCTTCCCTTCTCGGTTTATTTTTCCCAGTTGGCAAGGTGGCATCGTGGGGCGGCTCAGCGTGCCTGGAGGGTGACATAGGGCACCCACTCGTTGTTGCAGCGGCTCTCTTCGCAGTAGCTGGCAACCTCTGCCAGGCCCTGGGTCTTCCAGGAATCCGTGTGCGGGTTCTGTGGGAGAGAGGGGGAGGGAAGACACATGAAACCTCCAGTTGCAAAAACAAGATCCTTTCCAGAATGTCAGAATACAAGGACCCAGTAGAGACCAGGGTTCAAATCCCTGCATTTGGCCATGAACCTCTCTGCCTAGCCTACCTCGCAGGGGTGTTGTGGGGACTGAGCGAGGGAGTGGAGGAGAACTGCATATGACACCTTGAGGGGCCTGTATCTTCTTGGAGGGCATATAAACATGGCAAATAGATAATCAGAAAAGCATTCTGCCCCCATCTTGCAATCCAGAAGGCAGCTCAGGAAGTGCTGTTTACACAGCTCACATCTGGCTGGGCTAAACTGCGCATGTGCGCTCTCTCCCTCTCTCTCTCTCTCTCTCTCACACACACACACACACACAGGAGCAAAAATGACATTTCAGGAATTCCTCCCCTCCCTGGAGGAGGAAGAACATTCCGATCTGGGCCAGTCAGGGGAGCTTGTCAGTTTCCCAAATGGCGCTGAGACAACAGACTATTCCCTTCCCCCCGAGACATGTTGGGGTGATGCGCCCCCTTCCCATAGTAGGAAGGGCCTCCCAAGGGCCATACATGACGGCCGACCTCCCCAAAAGCTGCCCCCCACATTTGTCCACCTCCAGAACTTCTCTTTTTAAGAAACAAAACACTATTAAACTGCAGGATGCAGCGTGAAAGCACCCATCTCTCCCCTGCTGAAGCAAGGCTAAGGCCTGCAGGCTGGGCATTTCCCCCCTACTTGTGGACCCCCAGAAACACTGCCCAGGCTTGTGCCCCAGAGGGTCACTTTGGTGGTGCTAACGCAGCAGTTTGGCTTCACCCCCGGAGGGGCGCTCCTTGCGCCCGGCCGGCCTGCACCCTCCCCATTTCCCGACCAGGCGAGTCCCCCATGTGCAGCTGGTGAGGCTCCTCTCCTGGCACCGTCCCAGGAAACCTCGGGCATGCCAGGGCCACGTGGGCGCTGCCAGCTCAACTCACCGTCACCAGGATGCAATGCAGGTCCTGTGGCTCCGCGGTGTCCTGGGAGCCGTCTCCCAGCACGGCCGCCAGCCGCTCCATGCCGGACACGCGCAGGATGTTGATGTCGTTGTCACAGCAAAAGGCCTGGATGAGCGTGAAGTGGATCTGCAGGGCAATGTCATCCTCGTCTTCTTCATCGATGGCGAGCAAGCAGAGGACCACGCTGTCCGGGTCCCTGGGGAGAGGAAGGGGCAGGAGAGTTAAGGGCGGCTCTTTCCAGCCCAAGCCCCAAACCAGGGCCGTTCCCTGCTTCCACCGCTCCCTTGAGCCCATTGGCTTCATTTTAGCCCCCTATTAAAAAGTTACACACTCTATTTTATCTACATATTAAAATGTTACATATTTTATTTTAGCTACTTATTAAAAAGCTACACAATCTTAGCTACCTATTAAGAAGATGTGCATTTTAGTTGCCCATTAAAAAGCTACATGCTTTATTTTTTAGTTACAAAAGTGTATATACTAAAAGTTATCTGTTTCCATCTATTTTTATAGTTACATATTATAAGTAAGTTACTTTATGTTTTCTGTTTTTTACTTTTTTATTGTTGGAAGGTTTGGTTTTCCTAGATGCAAATCAAAGTTGCCTCCCCCCCCCTCTTGCAACGTCATTTATCCGTTTCTGAAAATAAATGAGTATAGTTGCTTGTATGTTTCAAAAAGCAATGATTCGCATGCCCTGTGAATTTGAACTAAACTGGCGGCACAGACAAAGCCTTGCTTTTGAAACACACACACAAACCACAAGAGTCACTTACTGGAGCCAGAAAAAATGCAATAAAAAAATGACTTACACATTCATGAGTTTGGCAGACTCGTAGACCCCAACTGTCAAGGCCCCCTGCCTCTGGGCGGCCACCAGGAGCTGCTCCACAGCTTCACTTACTGACTTCATCCTTTTGGGGGAGAAGAAGGGAGAGAAGAAATGAGATTTTGGCACCAGGAGCAAAAAAATCCAGAGCAGAAACTTCCACTTCACTTTTTTTCCCCAGACACAAACTTACTTGTTTTCTGTGTTATCGCAAGACACCAGCTCTTCCAGAGTCATGTTGCAATTATAATCCACAGTGGCGCAAAAGGGGGAAAAAAACCAGTCCAGGTAATGCCAGAAAAATTGGTGGGTTTTTTCTTCCTTTCCTTCGTTCCTCCCAGCAAAGCAACGTTTCCCCACAAGCCAGAAAATCCAGATGTTCCTGCGAATAAATCCCAGCGGAAGGACAAGGCGATTTCCAAAGTGGTGGAGGAAAAATAGCAAGGCACAAAAAGAGAAATGACGATCCAGTCCGGCACAGACGCTGCTTCGGCGACGGATCGGATTCTGACTCGGCCGGAGCAGCTGACGGCGCTTTTTATAACCTCCCCAGCAGGGCGGGGCTCGAATTGGTCCTTTCCTCCTTCTGATTGGCCCTCGAGCCACAAAGGTCGGCTCCGGGAGCCCCCGGATTGGCGGAGGCGCGCAGGAGCCACCACGTGGGGGAGGAGAAATGTTGCAACTCGGAAAAGTCCGACGGAGGCGCTTTGCTCTCGCGCGCGGCTGTTTTTTGCTGCTTCAAAGAATTGCGTGTCTGTTTTTTCTTTTCCACCCCCCTTTAAAAAAGAAGAAGCGAGTTTCGGTTTATTTTTCCCAGCAGCAGCAGTTCCTGCTTAGGAGAAGATTTCCACAGAAAACAGGGCCGGGCGCAATGGTTACACACTTTCTGGCTGCGCGCCCCTGTTTTGCAGAATTTCCCCGAAACGTTGCAATCGGAGGGAGCCAGGGCGAAATAGGAATTAATAAGAACAGCAGCAATCGCGTAAAAAGAAGCAATGCAAGGCAGTGCAACACACAGCGCCAAATTTATAGTAATTGCAAAAATAAATTACGCAAGGCGGTTGGATCAGCATGCACGGATAGGCTTTCCCTACGAAACCGTTGGGGTTGCTTTTCTTTCTTCAAAATCATTGGGATTTTTTAAAAGAAAATTGCAAGCCTGTTGCGCTCAAATAAAAGAGACGGTGTTTGCAGGCAACAGAGAGCGAAAATAAAAGTGGGGTTTGATGAGGGTAGTGGGGTAGTCGGGGCGCTGTGCCCCCCCCACTATGCAAGGAGGAGGAGGAGCAGCCGGGCGCGTGGCGTGGGTTGGCGCGTGGCGTGGGCTGTGCAAATATCACTCGTGGTTTCACACTCCTCTGACTCACTCGCTGGAGCTTGCACATTTTTTCTCGGGTGTGTGGGGAGAAAAGCCACGCATGCAGCTTGCGAGCTCCATCCACCCCTCAAAAAACCTCTCCCTAATACAACCCCCCCAACCCCGCGCCCCCCAGGCCTGAAGTCCATTCCTGCACTTTGCAAATTGCACCTTTTTCTTCAACCCCCCCCCCTCTCTCTCTCACCTCCCCTACCACCCTTAAAAACAGACAAACGCCCTACTAATTTCACTGGTTTCACTAATTGCAAAATCCCACAGTGTCAGTTTTGCTCCGGAGCAAACGCGCGCCCGACCGAGCTGGCGAGACGCAGGATCTGTGCAACTCCCCGACTCAGGAAATAAAGGCGCAGAGCTCTTCTCTCCTTGTTTGGCGGAGGGTTGGGGCCCGTCCGCGGCGAGCCGGACCCCTGCCAAAGTGGGTGACGAGTCAGCCATCGGTCTGGCACGCGGCTTGACCCCGCTTGCACCCAGAGAGGATCCGGTTTTACAACCGCGCCGCGCAGGAGAGATGATTCAGCCCCGACTCAGCAAACCCAGCCCGGATCGGATGGGGACAAAAAGTGCTGTTTTCGAGAGTGAATTATGTCTATGAGCAAGAGGAGATGTGATGGAGAAGGAGGAACCAGGACCGGGCGGGATCAGACCCACCCAACCAACCCACCTCCCTGTCTCCAGCAGGGGACGGTCAGACGACACCCCCCCACCAGAGACCTCTATTTCTTTATTTCATGAAATTTATGCACTGCAAAAAATAAAAACATACCTCTAAGTAGTTTACAGGAAAGACAAAACCATAAAATTATTAATAAGTAGAATTAGTAAAGTCAAAAGAGCATGAGACTCAGTCTGAGGGTTTGGGGTTCGATCCTCACGTTGCACATTGCAGGGGGTTGGACTGGATGACCGTCAGGGTCCCTTCCGACTACCATTCTAGAAACTGAAGGAAATAGACTTATTAAGGCAGCAATTATAAGTTAAAGCAACAGAAGAGGAAAAGCAGATTAAAACATGCATCAGCTTTCTGAACCAGTGGGCAAAGGTGCTTTTAGCAGGCACCAAAAAGAGTCCCTGAATGAGTCTGCCTGATGTCAATAGGCAGGGAGTTCCAAAGGTCAAGAGGAAAACAACCTCTCCAGTCAACATGGCAAGGTAGATTGCTCCTGGAGCTGGAGGCTTGCTCCAAGAACAGAACAGGCCAAGAACCATCTGGCATCTCCAGGGAGCCCACAAGACGAAAGGCCGCTGCTCTGTTGACTCTCCCTGAGCCTGGGGGCAGGATTCTCCCGCTCCCACCATGAATTTGCCTTAAGGCCCCCCTGATGTAAAACCACCTAAAGACTGGTAGCCACACATCTTGTGGCAGTGAGTTCCATACATTTGTTGTAGGCAGCTTATTATTAATAATAATGATAAAGTTATTATTTATGCCTGCCCAAAGACATTGTGCACTTTCAACCTGCTGCTGCTTCACGTGATTGTCTAACTCGCCCCCAAAGTTCTAGGGTCACACAAAATAGAGAAGTTGATCTCTCTGATCTCTTTCACAGATTTTATGACCTATTTACATATCTGAGATTGCAACTTAAAAATAAATTAAATTAAGGCAAGTGAGAAGCAGTATGGTTAGAGTGACAGCCTAGCAGTGGGCTCTGGGTTCAAATCCCTCCTGCCACATTGTTCATTGAATGACCAGTTATTATTTCCTCGCCTGACCTTCCTCACAGGGGGGTTGGGAGGACAAAGTGGTTGGAACCCCGACTCAGCAATGATGCTAACTAGACATGCAAATGATATTAAATTGAACAAATTTAATTAAGCGGATTTGCAGTACGTATTTATTTATGCGGACAATTTTGGGGTGGGTACAATGACTGGGGGTCGCGAGGATCAGCCGTGCACATGATGGGGACCAGAAGGGAGTTTTGCTGTGCACTCCTAGGCTGAAGGGAAGCACCCAGACCCTGCAAATGCCAGAGGAGCGAGCCCGCCCTCTGGTGGCCAAGTGCAGGAGCAGCACCCACTGCCAGGAGGCAAATTAATAATTCCTCCTTCTGCCACCCTCTTCCAGCAGCAGAGAATGAGAGAATTGTGGGTCATCCAGTCCCACCTCCTGGGATGCAGGAATCTCAGCTAAAGCATCCAGGACAGATGCCACCCAACCTGTGCTTAAAAACCTCCAAGGAAGAAGAGTCCTGAACCTTCCCAGGGAGACCATTCCACTGTCAATCAGCTCTTGCTGTCAGAAAGTACTTCCTGATGTTGAGTCAGAATCTCCTTTCTTGTCACTTGAAGCCATGGGTTCAAGTCCTACCCTCCAGAGCCTGAGAGAACAAGCTTGTTCCCTTTTCCAGGTGGCAGCCCTTGAGATGTTGGAAGATGGCTCTCAGTCTCCTCTTTTCCAGGCTAAACAACTCCTCCAACTGTTCCTCATAGGGCTTGGTTTCCAGACCCTGGATCATCTTGGCTTCCCTAGTCAATAAGGACTAGTCTCTTGAGAACGCTTGAGATTCCCAGGCTTGGGGAAGCCTTTTGGCCTTGTTATAATGCTGCATAATGAGCACATTTAGTAAATAATGTTTTATTCTCTTAAACTTCTAGTTGCAATCTGATTTGAGACAACTAAATGCATATATTAATAACAATAATAATCTGAACTGAATTAATGGACAGATGGGTCACCAACTGTTATGGTGTTACTAACTGTGCCTTGAACTTGGCAAATTGGCAAGCAGTGCATATCTCTGAGTGCAGCTGCTATATGCTGACCAGGCTGGGTTCCTGCCAGGAATTGTGCCACAATATATATATATATATATATATATATATATATATATATTTGCACCAGCCTGAAGATGACGAGTGAGACCTCGTCGAAACGTCGCCTAGACACCCCAACTTTTACACGGGAAGACACCCGAGGACACCAAAACCTCCATATATATATATATATATATATATATATATATATATATATATAAAATAAAATTATAATTATATATAATATAATTGTGGGACGCGGGTGGCAATGTGGGTTAAACCACAGAGCCTAGGACTTGCCGATCAGAAGTTCAGCTCCCGTTGCTCGGTCCCAGCTCCTGCCAACCTAGCAGTTCAAAAGCACGTCCAAGTGCAAGTAGATAAATAGGTACCTCTCCGGCGGGAAGGTAAACGGTATTTCCGTGCGCTGCTCTGGTTCGCCAGAAGCAGCTTAGTCATGCTAGCCACATGACCTGGAAGCTGTCTGCGAACAAATGGCCTATAGAGCGAGATGAGCGTGCATCCCCAGAGTCGTTTCTGACTGGACTTAAATGTCAGGGGTCCTTTACCTTTACCTATTATTATAACTATTTATTAAATTTGTATACCACCCTCTGCAGATCTCAGGGTGGCTCACAACATGAAAATACAAGATAAAAAAAATAACTACAAAAACAATAAAAACAAGAACAACCAATAATCCCCCCCCTACACATTTTAAAAAGGCACTGGATGTTAATCAGCAAAAGAACCGGAAGAAGAGGAATCATTTCAGCTGGTGCCTTGGGGAGAGTGTTCCACGAACAGGGAGCCACCATAGAAAAGGCCCCGTTTTCATGTGCCACCCTCTGGACCTCTCATGGAGGAGGCACATGAAGAAGGGCCTCAGAAGATGATCTCAGTGTCTGCGTCGGTTTATACAGGGAGAGATGGTCCTTCAGGTATTGTGCTCTTGAACCTTTTAAGGCTTCAGAGGTCAAAAACAGCACTTTGAACTGGGCCTGGAAACTAATTTGCAGCCAGTGCAGTCAGACCAGGATCGGTGTAATATGCTCAAACCATCTTGCTCCAGTCAGCAACCTGGCTGCTGAATTCTGCACCAGCTGAAGTTTCCGAACCGTCTTCAGAGGAAGCCCTACGTATAATGCACTGCAGTAGTCTAACCTTGAGGTTGCCAGAGCATATTGAAATAAAAAAGTAAGGTGTATATATATATGTGTGTGTGTGTGTGTATATCTACGAAAGCATATATATATATATATATATATATATATATGAATAAATGTTCATAAACGTACCAACCAAGCGCATACATAGATGTGTGGACCACATGTCTGGAGCAGCACAGGAGGACCTCCCTAAAACTATTTTCACTTCCAAACTGACCAAATGATTTCTCTGCAAGGTCAAGGAAAATGGAAAAGCCTCCCCATTGTCTTTTCATTCACAAATCCTGTCTGAAGGGTATGTCTGTGTATGACTAGGGTGAGCCTGTGACCTGCTCAGGAACTAAGTATTTGTCATTACAAAAGACTGGCCAGGGTATCCAATCAAGTGAGCATTAACAGGTAACCTGCCAGACAGGAGGTAAACAACGCACTCAGATTTCTGTTGTAGACTGTTGTAGACCGTAGGTATGATGTATCTGGGGGTGGTCTTGGACTCCAAGGCGGGCAATTTAAAATGTCTATATAATGGTGGGCACACCTTGGTTCTGGGTCCTCCTCCTTTCCTGTTGCAACAGTTCCATAAAGATCAGGCTTACAAGCTGCTTTGCTTCTCAGTATTCTCTGGCTGGCCTCTGTTATTTTCTCTGACTGATGGAGAACGTACAAAGGACTCTATAAGGGCTCTTGTGTCCCCCATAAGGGAATAAGGGCAGATTTACGTTGATTACAATAGACAACAGCAGGCTCTCTCTGTCCAGATAGGAGTGTAGCTGGGCCACCAGCCGAAGCTGATGGAAGGCACTCTGGGCCACTGAGGCCACCTGAGCCTCGAGTGACAGCAAAGGATCTAGGAGGACCCCCAAGCTATGAACCTGCTCCTTCAGAGGAAGTGTAACCCCATCCAGAGCAGGCAATCTCCTGCCCATCTGGTCTAGGGAACCCCACACTAACAGCGCCTCCATCTTATCTGGATTGAGCTTCAGTTTGTTGGCTCTCATCCAGTCTGTGAGGCAAGACAGCAGTCTGGCCTGCAATTCTGGATGCCATTCTGGCATTTGCCGGCCCCTGTGAGAAGAGGGAGCTGGACCCCCCTTGACCTGACCCAGCTGCTCCAGGTTCTTTGTGCGTCCTTATGCTCGGATTTGCTGAAGGTTGATTACTGGGGAACTGAGGGAACCTTCAAGATCTCCATGGGAAGATTCTTTTTTTTTTTTTTTATAAAATTTTTATTGGTTTTAGAAACTTTTAAAGAAAAACAAACAAACACCAAAAAAGACAAACATACACGAATAGTTTCAAACATATTTTCATAAACCTCTTTCCTTTGACTTCCCCATACCCCCCCTCTCTGCATCCCAATGTCCATAATTCAACTAGCAACTCCCAATTGTTACTTTCCAATCTCTGTCATCTTAGTCCTCTTTTATATTTCTAACCTTATATCCCTGTATCCCTTTGTTTCTGGAAACCACAACATTTTAGCATTCATTAAGTT